GGATTAAGACTGGGCTGGTTGAACCCCCAGAAACAGCTGACCTGACAAAGGTTAACTCTTGAATCCCAGGCATCAGCCTGGGAATCCAGCATGGGACTGATCAAGACCCCCCGAATCTGGGTGTCAGTGAGGAGGCCTAGGTAATCTATTGAGCCTTGGACAGCAGATCAGTACCCATCCCAAGTATACACACGGACTTTGGACTCCCATTGAACAATGTGAGGTGCACTCTCACCCTGAACTCTTGGGGAAGGGTCTAGGCCCTGCCCTATATGAAATGACAGACTATGGACACCCCCATGGAGGGCCTCACCCTCCCTGGGGGAATGAGGGGATAACGGGGGGGGGATGGGGGGAGGGCACGGGAGGAGGGGAGGGAAAGGGAGAGGGACCTCGTACTGACTTGTGAAGCAACCTTGTTTCTTATCTAAATTTAAAATGGAAAATAAAAAAATATTAATAAAAAAAAAAGATACCAGAAGATGGAAAGATCTCCCCTGCTCTTGTAAAGGTAGGATCAACATAGTAAAAATGTCAATCTTACCAAAAGCAATATACAGATTTAACATAATCCCCATCAAAATTCCAGCACAATTCTTCACAGAATTTGAAAGAACAATTTTCAACTTTATATGGAAAAACAAAAGACCCAGGATAGCCAAAACAACCCTGTTCAACAAGGCAACATCTGGAGGCATCAACATCCATGATTTCAAGCTCTATTACAGAGCTATAGTCCTGAAAACAGATAGACCAATAGAATCGAATTGAACACCCTGACATTAACCCACACATGGATGAACACCTGGTCTTTGACAAAGAAGCTAAAAATTATACAATGGAAAAAAGAAAGCATCTTCAACAAATGGTGCTGGTATAACTGAATGCTGGCATGTAGAAGACTGCAGATAGATCCATGCCTATCACCATGCACAAAACTAAAATCCAAATGGATCAAAGACCTCAACATAAATCCAGCCACACTGAACCTCTTAGAAGAGAAAGTGGAGGCATCCTTGAACGAATTGGTACAGGAGACCGCTTCCTGAACATAACACCAGTAGCACAAACACTGAAATCGACAATTAATAAATGGGACCTCCTGAAACTGAGAAGATTTTGTAAGGCAAAGGACATAGTCAACAAGACAAAAAGGCAACCCACAGATTGGGAAAAGATATTCACTAACCCCACATCTGACAGAGGGCTAATCTCCAAAATTTACAAAGAATTCAAGAAGCAAGTCTCCAAAACACCAAAGAATCCAATCAAAAAGTCGGGTACAAAACTAAATAGTAGTAGAGGAGTCTAAAACGGTTGAGAGGCACTTGAGAAAGTGCTCAACATCCCTAGCCATCCAGGAAATACAAATTCAAACAACTCTGAGATTACATCACACTCCTGTCAGAATGGCTAAAATCAAAAACTCCAATGACAGCTTATGCTGGAGAGGATGTGGAGAAAGGGGAACACTCCTCCACTGCTGGTGGGAGTGACAACTTGTACAGCCACTTTGGAAATCAGTATGGAGATTCCTCAGGAAAATGGGAATCAGTCTACCACAAGACCCATCAATTCCACTCTTAGGCATATACCCAAAAGATGCACATTCATACAACAAGGATGTCTGCTGCACTATTTTCATAGCAGCATTATTTAGCCAGAACCTGGAAGCAACCTAGATGCCCCTCAACTGAAGAGTGAATAGAGAAAATGTGGTGCATTTACACAATGGAGAACTATTCAGTGGAAAAACATTGAATATTGGAATTTGCAGGCAAATGGATGGCTGGAACTAGAAGAAACCATCCTGAGTGAGGTAACCCAGTCACAAAAAGAGAAGCATGGTATGTATTCACTCATATATGGATTTTAGGCATGGATTAGGAAATGTCAGCCTACAACCCCACTGCCAGAGAGTCTTGGAAACAGAACCTTCATCCAGGGACTGATGAAAGCAGAGGCAGATACCTACAGACAAACACTGAACTAAACTCCTGGAATCCAGGGTCAGACAGAGAGAACTGATGGGCAAAGGAGTTAAGAGTGGGCTGGTTTAACCCACAGAAACAGCTAACCTGAACAAGGGGGAGCTCTTGGACTCCAGATTGATGGCTGTGTGGAAAGCATGGGAATGACCCAGATCCCCTGAATGTGGGTGTCGGTGAGGAGGCCTAGGTAATCCATGGGGCCTTGGGTAGTATTTATCCCTGGCGTACAAATAGACTTTGAGTGCCCATGCCACAATATGGGAGGCTTTCTCAGCCTGGACTCTTGGGGGAGGGCCTAGGCCCTGCCCTGGATGAAATGACAGACTCTGGAGATCCACCATGGGTGGCCTCACCCTCCCTTGGGATCAGAGTAGCGATTGGGTGGGGGAAGTGGGGGACAAGGGGGAGGGGGACCTGGTAGGGAGGGTGGAGGAGGAGGAGAGGGAGGGGGATTCACATGTGAAACAAGCTTGTTTCTAACTTAAATAAAAAATTAAGAAAAAATACCGGTTTTAAATTGTCTGTGAAGAATATCTAACGTAAACGACTTAATGTAAGGGAGATTTATTTTGACACAGGGTTTCAGTAGGCCCAGTCCACAGCTAATTTAGCCCCTGCTTTTTGACTGAACATCACAGTAACAGAAGAATGTGGAGTAAATAATGGTTGACTTCTTGGAAAGCAAGAAACAGAGAAATATACAAGGAAGGGACATATAGTTCCAAGCTTATGTCCCCACGGTAATATTTCCACTAGCCACCACGCCCATCTTAACGCTCCCCAGGACTCCCAAAATAGTGACAGTAGCAGAAGTTCAAACATAACTTGGGGACAAGGGACATCTCACATCCAAAGCATGGTATTAAACAAACAAACAAACAAAAAAACACACACATAGTTGTTACAGAATCCTGCACACATAAACAGAGTCTGAAAATGTTCTATTCAGATGCAAGGCTTCTGAATTTTCCTTTTAAAATAGGTAGTCTTCATTTTTAGTTGGTGTGTTTCTCTGTGTATGCCACATATGGGTGCCTGTGAGGCCAGAGGAGGGTAGCAGATCCTCGACCTTGAGTTGCAGGTGACTGTGAGCCACACATTGTGGGTGTGGGTACTGAACTGGGGTCCTTTGAGAGAGAACCAAAGGCTTTCACCTGCTGAGCCATTTCTCCAGGCCCTATATTTTTCCTGTTTTACACATCTGCATGTGTCTTGTGGTATGTGTGCACATATGTATGAATGCTTGCTTTAATGTATATAGGCACACATTGACTTAGATATATGTACACATGTGCATATGCAGACCTGTGGCTGTCACTGAGTGTCTGTCAATCACTCTCCATCTTCTATATTGAGCCAAACTCTTTTACTGACACCAGAGCTCCCCATTTCAGCTAGTCTGCTTAGCCAGCATGCAGAGACCCCCTAGCTATATCTCCTGCCTGCTGAGATTACAGGTGAGCACCTTGCCCACTGGGTTTTAAGTGGGTTCGGGGGATTAGAAATCTGAAGCTCACACTTGCACAGTAAGTGCTGTACCTGCAGAGCCATCTTCCTAAGCCCTGTTCTGAATATGATCAGTCAATGGTGGCTTAATCCCAAAGCTGCAGGATCCACGAATCCATAAAGCCAACTGTACTACCAATGGACAAAAAAAGAACATAGTCAAGGCAAAGAATAACTTAAGTAGATTTGTGACATGGAAAATTCCTCAGTATAAAAGAAGAATGTGACTTACTTCTGAACGTATTCATGGCAATGTTCAAATAAGAGATAGTCAAAGCTGATACTAGGATGATAACTCAAGATTGCTACTGAATCAAAAAATTAATGATGGGATTTATGTGAGTGATGAGAAGGACAGAGGATGGCATCAGAGTTTGGAATTTCTAGATTGGGCCACATGATGGAGGTGGTGCCATTTCCCTGGGTGCCATTTCCAAGTGGAGAAAGTAAATATTCATACCTCAGCACCTTGATTTTGAGAGCCAGGGAAAGATTAAAACACACAATCATATAATCCAGCAAAGACAGTAGAAACTACAATGGAGATAAAATGTTTGAGAAATAAATGTGTGGGTAGAAATCAAAACTCGTGAACTTGCCTGTGTCAACAGGAGTTGCAGCACTTTGTAAAAAACATTAAATAAGAGTAATCTGTTACATCACTTTCTTTACAACAAAGAATCAGATTCCCAGTGACAAGGACTGTGTTTTGAATGACATGACTATAATAAGACAGAATTGTCACAGAACATTCAAAAGTCCTCATGTGACCATTTTCAACTTTGTCTCCAACACCCAGCCTGAACAAAGATGAATTAGAGACCCAGCCCCTGCCCTTACACCTGCTTGTGAGCGCCCCACATGTAGCACTTATTCTAGTTGGTATTAGCAATAAAAACCAAGAGATAGATATTGGGGTTAAAGCTGAAGATCCACAAAGCAGCCAGCTGCTAGCTCTTACCTGTACCTCAGAGTGATAGGGCGATCCTGTCTTCACGAATTCAGACTGCAGTACCCTCCACCAAACCTCAGAGTGACTTATATGCCTGTCTCCACCCAACCAAATCACCCCTGTCTCCACCTCCCTGGTGTAGGATCAAGGGTTACACTCTGTTTCTCTTTTACAGTGCTTCACTCTCCTGTAGCCCAGGGTGGCCTTAAACTCACAGAGATCATCTGCCTCTGTCTTTCAAGTGCTGGGATTAAAGGTTCGGCTGCCACTGCCTGTGCTCTATGGCTAACTAGTGGCTTAGGTGTGTGTGTGACTAACTGGGAGCTTAGCTCTGCTCTCTGATCTTCTGGCAAGCTTTGTTTGTTAGATCACAAACAAAATATTGCCCACTAATTCTCTTAGGGAGAACTTAAGGAAGGAAAGCTTCCTTCCCTGCAGGTCACATGGCACGGGAACTAACCAGTCAACTCATTTTACAGCCAGCCTGAACGGCCATCTCTAACCATGCAGCCTCCTCTCCTTCCTCACCCCCTCATCCCATCAGCACTTACCAGGCTGACGCCAGTTTTCCTCCTCTAGAGAAAGTGCAACTGAATGCAGCTCCTCTCAGTCCTTGTGTCTTCTGATTTACAGTTTGTGCAAACTCCAGGACCAAACCAACGTGGTCTCTTCACTGTGTTTGCTTAGTTTTGACAGGTGTGAGCCAATGTTCAAAGCAGCCTTCTGGACGTGTAAGCACACGCATAACCTCTTCTCTAGAACTAGTGTTCAAATCCGCCATGCAAAACTATGGGTCAGCACCAGAGAACATCTGAATGTGTGCCTGCAAGGCTCTCCTGGTTCAGAGAAGTGGTGGTGAGTTCTTAGGAAACAGTCTCTTTTTACAAAGAAAACCAGCTGAACAAGTCTGCTTCAAGAGTGTCGGGAAGTGAGGTGAAAACTGTTCACTCATCTTTTTTTTAAGTATCCTTCTTTTATTTAAATTAGAAACAAGGTTGTTTCACATGTCAGTCCCAGCTCCCTCTCCTGCCCTCCTCTCCTGCCCTCCCTCTACCCCCTCCAGGCCCTCACCCAATCCCCACTCCGTTCCCCAGGGAGGGTGAGGCCCTCCATGGACAATATCCACAGTCTGTCATTTCATCCAGGGCCTAGGCTTTATCCCAAGAGTCCAGGCTGAGAGAGCATCCCTCCATGTGGAATGGGCTCCCAACATCCACTTGAATGCCAGGGATAAATACTGATCTACTAACCAAGGCCCCATAGATTGCCTAGGCCTCCTCACTGACACCCACATTCAGGGGCTCTGGATCAGCCCCATGCTGGCCTCCCAGTCATCAGTCTGGGGTCCATGAGATCCCTCTTGTTCAGGTCAGCTGTTCCTGTGGGTTAAACGAGCCCAATCATGATCCCTATGCTCATCAGTCCTCCCTCTCCATCACTGAGTTCCAGGAATTCAGTTCATTGTTTAACTGTGGGTGTCTGCCTCTGCTTCCATCAGTCATTAGTTGAAGGTTCTAAGAAGGCATACAAGGAAGTAGTAGAACTCATTATCAGGGAGTAGCATTTAAGGCAGTCTCTCCACTATTGCTTAGTTTGTCAGTTAGTGTCTTCCTTGTAGATCTCTGGAAATCTCGCTAGTACCAGATATCTCAAACCTATAATGACTCCCTCTATTATGGTATCTCTCATCCTGCTCTCCTCTGTTCTTTCCCCAACTCAACCTTCTTGCTCTCCCATATCCCCCTCTCCCCTCTTCTTCTCCCCCTCTCTTTTTCCCAGCTCTCTCTCACCTCCCCCCATGCTCCCAATCTGCTCAGGAGATCTTGCCTCATTCCCCTTCTCTGGGGTACCATGCATATCTCTCTTAGGGTCCTTCCTGCTTCCCAGACTCTCTGGCAGTGGGATTGTAGGCTAGCACTGCCCTGTTCCATGTCTAAAATCCATATATGAGTGAGTACATACCATGTTTGTCTTTTTGTGACTGGGTTACCTGACTCAGGATGGTTTCTTCTAGTGCTGTCCATTTGCCTGCAAATTTCAAGATTCCATTGATATTTTTTTCTGCTGAGTAGTGCTCAATTATATAAACGTACAATATTTTCTCTATCCACTCTTCAGTTGAGAGGCATCTAGGTTGCTTCCAGGTTCTGACTATTACAAATCATGCTGCTATGAATATAGTGGAACAGACGTCCTTGTTGTATGAACGAATGTCTTTTGGGTATATGCTTAAGAGTGGAATTGCTGGGTATTCACTCATCTTCTGATGCCTGTGCTGGGTGTGACATGTGCCTACAAGGTAGGAAGTGACCATATACATGTTCCCTGTGTCAGTTACTTCACACATTCTATAACCAAATACCTGACAAAAACCGCTCCAGGGAGGAAAAGGTTATTTTGGCTAAGATCACATACAGAATTTAACTTCACAAATGAGTTAAGGACTAAAATATTACTTCCTTAGAGAAGAACAAAATCAAGCTTACATTTTAAAACCCTTGAAGCTCAAAAAAAATGAAAGGAAATAATCTTGAGATTCTAATTTCACTTTGATTAAGGAATGTTTTTGTAATATGAATAGTTTTTAGTACCACCAGGGATGAAATGATAATGACTTTCCAACAGATATTGATAGAAACATAAACTACCATAGTATTTCTAAGTGAATGATGTTATGCCAGGTTCATGAGACCCCAAATAGACCACCACAAGGAGCCAACTCTGCCGTGCAAAAGCAAAGGTTTCTATATTGTTCAAGCCAGCAGGGACCTTACTTGCTCTGGAGAGAGGGAAGTCAGCTAACAACTAAGGGGAATTTTTTAAGGGAAAGACCACAAGTCTGAAAGCCACAAATTACAAAGTTTCCATGGTTACTCAAGGTCATTACACAAAACATAAAGTAAAGCAATAACCATGTATTTAATCAAGATACATTTAAGTGTGGGGGTGTTATGGGGAGCATGGGAGGATGGGAGGGGGACTGATATTCTTCTAAAATTAAAAAACAGATATATTTAAGCAAGATATGGCAGGGGCATGAGGTCACAAGGGTATGGGGATCATAGTGGCATGGGGTCAGGCATTCGGCAATTATCCCACTGGGGATTTTTACAACTGGCAGTTAGTGATTATACGGTTTTCTTTAGAACAAAGGCATGTTGACACAGCTGGTGGTGAACTCCCTTTTCTGAGAGCTGGATTCAGGTCCTTAGTCACTTACTCCTGGTCAGGGGGTGAAATTCTCTTTATCATCAGAAGTTCCCTCATACTCTGTATAGGTTCAGCGGCCCAGGTGTTTAGACTTGCATTCATTTTAATTTTTGGTCTTTCAAGTAGTAGTATTTGTTGTTCTTTTGCTGCAGCAGCAGGCGATGAAACACAACCACCAAACTCAACAGACCCACTTGGGGTTTATTGGGAACGGGAGCAAAGGGAGGGGAGCAGATACGGAGAGAAGAGGAAGAGATCTGACTGGATAGGCCATTGGTGGCAGTCAAGAGCACTCCCAGTATTCTGTGGCAGTTAAGGGACCGGGCTGCCTAAAGCAACTGAAGCTGTCCTCAGGGTCAGAGCACACAAGTCTTAAAGTTTCTTGGTTTCTGGCTGCCAAAGATGGATCCCGGGGTGAGGAGAGAGCCCGAAGATTAGAGAGGCCCCATGAACGAACGAGAACGGTTCTCTGAAGAGAAGGTCCAGGCCCAGGAGAGGGCTGTCGTGAAGTGACAGGGGGTGCTGAGGAGAAGCCATGGGGCAGGAGAAGGAGAGGAGTTAGGCACAACAACAGGGCGAGGTTGCCCAGGACCCAGGGAGAGGGAGAAACCAGGATATCAACAATATGTCCCGAATTCACCTAAGAAGTTGATATCCTTGAGCTTTTAATTCCTCATATACAAACATTGTTAAGGGGAAAGGGCCATCCAAAGAAACACACTTTGGCCCTACAACCAGAACCAAAGAAATGTACCCTGACCCTGAAACCAGTGCCAAAAGAACACACTTTGTCACTGGAATCAGAGCCAGTGAAAGAAATGCACCATGGTCCTAAAACTAGAGCCAAAAGGCTAAAAAGGACCAGAGAAAGAAACACACTTTGGCCCTGAAACCAAATCTGACCCTAACCCTGTGCAGAAAACCAACCAATCCCTGAGAAGAGATCCACCCATTCTAAGCTCAGGGATTGAAATCTGACCAATCCCCACCCTCAAAATCTCCCGGGGGGGGGGGGACTACGCCCCCTAAGAATCCCTATATAAACCCTGTGTCTGTTCATGCTGCCTACTGTCCTCCGCCACCCTGGCAGAGGGCAGCCACTCTCCTGGATTCTTCCCTCCCAATAAATCTCTTGAATGAGGTTTGGGTGAGACCTCCTTTCAATGAAGCAGAGACGATCTTGGGCCCCTGGGCGGAGCAGAGGTGACCAGATAGGGCTGTAACATTTTTCACCTGGGGAACTGGCTAAGCACAGTTGTTACACCCTGCTCTCTGGGGGAGCAGAGCCAAAGTATGTTAACTTCACTGGGGAAAACCTCTATGCCTGAGCAGAGCTAATACACTGAGAAGATTTCCCCTGAATTAGGGCGCTAAGCAGCTGTGCTTACTGTGACCTGTGGTATTCCTTGGCTCCCGAGTGCCCGAATACCTTTCCATCCAAGCTGTAACACTCAGTATTCTGTGGTGTCTGAGTGCCATAATCCATCCCTGTCCATCCTATCAGATCTGACCAAACACTTACAATCATGCCTTAAGAAGATAATCCCAAATCAACAAATGTTTAGGTCTAAATACTCATTAGGATGTGATTAAAAATAATAAAGAACTTAGTAGGTGTAGTGGCACACACCTTTACTCCCAGCACTTGAGGGCAGTAGGAAGTAATTCTATGAGTTTAAGGCCACTGTGGTCTACATGGTAAGTCCCAGACCAGCCAGGGTTACATAGTGACACCCTGAATCAAATACACACAAACCAAAACACACTAAAGAATTGGGGGATCTAAACTATGAACACTATAAAGTTAAGTTTGCATAAAAACTATCCCTTTTATAATCTACTTTCTAAAATAAATCTAAGAAAGAAAACAGCCGTCCAGTAATAGTTGCAATATTGTTGGTTTAACAGGACTCTGTTTAGCTGTATCTGAATTCCACCTCACTCTCATAAGAAGGGAGAGGGCCTTGCTTCACACTTTTGTAGAACTCACGGTCATGTTGATGAACCACTACAAATGGGAAGAGACCAAAAGAGAGGGAAATAGAACAGAAGACAAGAGGCATCAACATTGGAGAGATATAAATTTTCTTCCTGGCTAGAAAGAGAAAATATATGGCCCCGAAAAAGAATTAGTATTTGACCTTACCTCCCCTGTATCCCCGACATTTCTCAGTTCTCCACCCCCACCCTAGTGCAGAAGACCACATCTCAAGACCTCTGGCAAGGACGGTCAGGTGGGTTTTTGTTACGTGGTTGTCAGAATGAAGGAGCAGGTTTGACTTTGCTGTCCCCAGAATCGTTCACTCGCCTTTCTGTCCTCTAGTCTGTGACGCTGCAGAGAGAAAGAGAAGGGTTCACTCACCAAGACTCACTCTCTCCATCCCTCCCCCATCTCTGACCTTCCCAACTCCTCCATCCACCCTCCATTTTCACCTTGCAATTCTACTTTCATGACAAATTCCCTATGATAAATCCATCCCCAGGTAGGTCCTCTCCAACAAAGCAAATGTCTGTCCATCCTTCCGGATCTAACACTCACAGCTGGGGCAAAAGAAAGACTTAGGGACCCAGGGAACATACCTAGAGAGGTTTTCTTCTTAGTGTTATCAAA